CAAGTAAAATACTAATTGACGGTATATCCTGCGAAACATTGCTCTCTAAGATGAAGCACAAACCATTCCATTATGAAACATCTGCTTTGTCTCCTTTAAGAAATCCACGGTATCTAGATGACAGCCAATTATAAAATGTTCAGAAGTACATTTTTAGAACCAAGGACATAACTGAAGAGCAGTTATCTCATATGTTTGAATACAATGCCACCTACAACCAAGTCATTCCTCAAGTTTATTAGAAACTAGTGAATCAGAAGATTGTAAAAATTTTAAATACACATTGGAATAGATAATGCCATTAAAGGTCATATCTTAATCGATTAAAATAAACCGAAAGAGAGAAAATATATGCATTTGGGAGATGGAAGTTTTCGGTTACCCAAGTTTTAAGCAGGCCGCACTCACATGCTGGTCAGTTGGATTAATGATAGCTAACCTTTGATCAATATGCGTTTTTATTTCAAGTTAGGGTTTTTCGTTGTCTGATTGGCCCGAAACGTGCGACATTTGTTGACCAGTCGACTCGTAGTAAAAAGGCTGAACATTTAGGTTACATCAGTCAACTGGAAAAATCGAAACTGAACTTGAAACAAGTAAGAACTGATGCCCATTGTCCAAAAGATACCTTCTAATGGCCAGAGTGGCCTAGCGGATAACGTTTTCTCATTTGAAACGATTGGTACCGGCTTTCGATCTCAGTGGGAACACCATCATTCACTGGGTTTGAAAGTGTGTCTGGGTGACGAGTTCTAAATAGGACAAAATGCACATCACTGATTCCTTTGTTAGTCACCCACTATCCACGAAATCTTTTGATTTAGTCTGTTTTGATATCCACTTTTCTGGAAGCTGGTCATTGGGTGCACAAGCTCCTTTGAATAATGAATAATTTATATGGCTTCTTTTGTGGGCTGTTAGAATCCTGCTGTCAATATGTGAAATAAGTTATGGTAGTTGATCAATCCTATTCTGTCCTTTATTATAACTCAAGAGTGGGCTTTCAAACCAGCGGGAGAAATAAACATTCCGCTCTACATCACACAGACATTCTCTGGTAGCTCTGGGTAAAATTAAAATTAGTTCGTGGGATATCTTGACAAAGCTTAGGTGTCTAATTTTACATATACTTATTGACTGAAATCATTGCAATAGAAAAATGGCAAAAATTTCATAACTTATGATTAAATCATAGTTAGTATAAAATGATGCAAAATTGTATTATAAAAAATAAATGCATTCACCACCTCAAAACTAAAATTAGGTTTAAACGGAAATGCAGACTAGCATACGTATTAGTGAGAACAATGAGTTTCCGTGAGACAGTAATGTGTTAAAGGTGAATGGTTTCAGATAGAAGGTGGATAATAACTAACTGGGTTGAATAAATCTATAATTATTGTCATCTCACATTACAAAATTCTAAAGAAAATATGGTGCTTTACTAATCTGGAATATCACAAGAAAACTACATCAATAAAATGGTTCTGACAGGTAGTCAGCTCTTGTTTATTGAGATGAAAATATTCAACCGCTTCACAACTACAAATGAAAATTCCTTTCATGAGTAGAACTGAGAAGACCGTATCGAATATACTCGGGTGAGAGGAGAAAAAGAGTTTATAGTCGCATGTGTTAATCATGATCTAACTTTTAGGTGGTACAGTGTTCACTGACCTACGCAACACCAAATTTTTATACATTTTTTTGTAGCGTCTACTTCGGATTAATTCATCCGAAAATGCAACAGCCAAAATCCCTGAAATAATACTCTACATATTTGTGGAGAATGTAGAATTATATAGACGTTAAATTTGTTTAATGGCTGATGAACCTGATGAAAATTTGAATATTTATCAGTTGAACAATAGGCTTAGCGTACATACTTTGTGACAGATTAAAAGGAAAAACCTACAGAAAATGTTTTACATAACTGCATAAGTCATTGGAAAATAACGAAATTTCATCAAAAGACCAGCTGTTTACTTTTCACAATGACTTAACTCATAATCTTAAAAGTGACATTTAGAAAATTATTGCGTAATTTGGTTTTAAAAGCAAGTCAGGATGTCCACATTTACGGCTTTTAAATTTCATTGGAAGTAAAAAGTTGAGGATTATTTGTATGAAACTTATTTAGTGATCTTCAGACTTTCATAATTGCTTGTGGACGTTAATTCACAAGGCTTGAGAACGTCATTTCTAACCAAGTCTGCAGGAAAGCTTTTCATGTGGAAAAGTTTATTTACGAAAAACTTTCTGTGTTTCTCCGCATTCGTAGTCTGATGTTGCTTTTAAATGTTAAGTGAGTGAAAACTTTTTGGTTCAGGTAACTTGCAACATTCCTGACCAATGTTACTCTTAGTTTCAACCAATTACTCCCTATCACTGTAAAAGAGTATGTCCAGATCTTATATTTAATTTATAATTTCGGTATCATTCAGGTTGTAACCAGCTGAGAAGAATCCGTGAAATACTAAGAAAAGAAGAGCTGAGATTATCCTGGTACATTTATCGTTCATGCTTTATTCAGATCAGTTAACTGTTCACATTTGTCTAGCATTATCTCTTATGGTCATGATCTCAGGTATTTGAATGGCCAACCGAAGTGCTGGACATTGTCAGACATAGCCTCAAGTTATTGCAGCTTTCTACTATAATTTCTTCCGAGAACGGAAGATACCTTTATTCTTATATTTCGATCACTAAAGACGATATTTGAAGCTTCTCATGATTACCCATTTGACATTACTGAGACAAACGTTTTCAACGAAAACCTTTTACCCATTAAGTAAATAATCGGGTGAAGTTAGTGAGTGTTAATGAATGAATGATTCATATTCACTTGAATTAAATACTATGGCAATGACGAAAATGGCTTTATTTCAAACTGTTGATCAGTTACAATGTAGAATTCTCAACATGTAGTATAATATTGCATCTATTTCTTCCTTTACATTACATAATAAGGGAGAAAATAACAGGAAATTTACACTAAGTATTATGTGGATGAAAATGTGAAATTAAAGTTGAAAAATTAATAGAAATATTGACAATATATCACTGGTAGAGAGAATGAAAAGGGTTGCATACCTACTGTTTCGAAGTAAGTTAGCAGCTTCAAACCTAAAACTTCTCTTGCCATGTGAAATGCGTACTAAATAAGATGTCATCGAGCTTTAATACTTAGTTGTCCGAGCATAAAGTCTTTTATAACTGCTTTTATTCCTACCTGATAAGGTGTAAGCGAAGAGTTCTGTATGAAGAGGATGCTCAGAGTCCAACAAAATGGCCTATTCCTTTTTTGCATAAGTTTAAGTATCTATCCACAAAACCTTTAACCAGTTGCTTGGGCGACACTTCACGTACCCTACCTCCAGCTTTTAGTGCCCTTCGCAATATAACAAAGTCTTTCTTAAGAAACCCAGGAGAGATTAGGAGGGACAAATTCATGAAAATAGGTAGAATACAAGAATCAGCAGACCGTTAGAGTGAAGACTGACTGATACCAAATTTTCTTAACGTCCTTACATAGAAGCCTAGACGAAATATCTTCCAAGGAATTAACGCGACGTGAGAAGACAAAAAAAGATCAGTGGGTAGACTTAATCTGAGTTATTTAACAGCCAACTTGCTTTCAGTTTCAACAATCATGATAACAAACCAGCTCATGTAAATTACGTTTGTCTGAGACTGAAATTAACAAAATCGATATTTGGTAGGATTTAGCCTATTGCTGATCGACAAGGACTACTGACAAATTTTTCTCACAGTCTGATTTAGAAGTAACCGATATGAAAACAGTCAGATCTCTGGCATACTTAACAAAATCGGCTTCATAAGAATGAATTGCTGTTAACATTTTAAAAGTAGGTCACGTTGTCAAGAAAATTAAAAGTGTGGTGATGATGACAATAAAAAAGACGAAGTGAAATAGAATGCAGTCAAATGGTAAAACAGAATAAAAAAAGAACAATACAATGCTCCAGGTAAAGAAAGCGGTTTTACGAAACGGCTTTGAATACATGGTCTAGAATTCAGTCTATATAGAGCTACAGCTTCTGCTATAGATAAATGGAGAAAACATTAACTTTTAAAATGGCTGAATTTGACCCTGTATTTAACTTCAAATGGTAAATTGTATGGTGGTGGATGACCGGACTCCAGAATGTTTTCAAAACATCTGATTCTCATCATCATGAAACCTCTAAATTTTCGACATCATCAATTATTCAATAATCTTTACGAATTTCTCAATACATGAGGATGAAGTAAGTTGTATAAGAAAGGAAACAAAGATGGCAAAAGAACAGCACCTTAAGGGACACTGGTTATAGTAAATAAAACAACAGAAAACTTTTCTTATATACAGTGCAGTGCTTCCTACCAGAAAACTAAGAATGTAATCAGTTTAATCCAGCAAATTAGTTGGGTATACTCCTTATTTAGATGTAATCGCTATTAGAAGTGTTACCAAGGTCATTTACTAACTGTACTTTGACATGTTTATGGATAATAATTTCCTATTATTTCAATAAACGGAGAAGTTCTCATTTGGAAGATTTCCAAAAAATCTTGCTATATAAAGTCTTGAAATAACGAAAGAAAGTGTACAGTTAAGTTAGTCATCTTCAAATGCTCATCTCGAAGTTATACAGATAAGTTTATTAGTAGTGTGTGTCTCACAACGTTTTTATGTGTTCGTAATAATGCTCAAAAGTTTATAATTACATATTTCTAGGCTTCATATACAGGCTTACAGAGACTGGTAGGCTTGAATAACCCAATCTTCAGAGATGCATCAATATGGAATAGTCTTTTAGAACAGCACTATCTGAATGACATGAGTTTTAAGTAAGAGAGGTAGGTCTTGGTCAATAGTTAGGGTGGAACTATTCATGTAAATCTCTGGTTCTTCTAGTGATCACTCTTGCAGGAGCCTTGACGGACAGTATATACAAGATGAACGAGAATAAAATTATGCAAAAAGATCTACTCACCGACACATATATTCTGTATCATTCAATGAACCATAGCCAAAACTATAACCAGACAGTTGACTACTTGGCATATGAACTTTATGCTTCTTTGAACAGTAATCTAGCTCATGCTCCAAATTAAAGCATTGTTTACGTGCATTCGCCAAGTATTGTATGAGGAAAATATTTATCAGTCCTATAAATAATAAATAAAACAGAAGTAGTGATATCAATGACATCAAATGATAGAAATGAAAATGTGTAGAAGTATTGAAAATTGAACAGTAATACTTCATATAATTCATTGACGAATACGACATTTCGGTATTCGTATTACAAATGTATAATGTTTCATCCCAGTGAAATTTTAGGTGGCACTTTCACAGCTGAGAATAAACACATAAATATACATTTTCTGTTTCAACAACTTAACAAGTAACTACACATTCTCTAGAAGTACTCACATTAAATATTTTACACCCCTTTGATTGGCAAGTACACTATATATTGTTATATGATTTGCGCTCAAAGATTTTCAGCCATTATTTGATTCAGATATAGTAAATCATGCACAGATTTCATCCGTGTTTGACTAATGAAGGTTCAGAGATGAGGAGTACTCGGCTTGACCAAAACCTCTGCTCAGTGCTCCCTGGTTTTCAGTGATTCTTCGGGTTCTATCAGCGTTTCAACAAATATACCAATGAAACCGATGCAGCCAGTGGCTTGTTACAAGAAGAATTTGCCTGGGGTTTTGCTGAGAAGTCATGATCAGTGAGATCTATCAGGTTGAGAATGAGGAAAAATAGTCGCCGATGACACTGGCTGGTAGTCACGCTAAAATCACAATATAGCGAAAGTTGAAATTCATCCGCCAATGAGTCTGATCCCAATGGTCCTAGGTTCGAACCTCGGTGGTTGCATACTGCTGATGAGTCCCAAAATAGGGCTAAACATCTGTCCAGTATTCTCTGGTTTTCAGTAGTTCTCTGATTTACATTAATCCGTGATAAAACTTGTAATATTAAAAATCATTTGGAAAAATATGCATCTAGTATCCATTGACAAAGATGGAGGATGCGTATTTAAATTTTTATGCTTTAGTGTTTACATATTTATCATTACCTCTCACGAAAACGATATCGCCACTACAGTCATTACAGAATTGTTGTTCATTTGTCATTGTATAACTGTAACAGATTGAAGTTATAAGATAACGTTGACATAAATTTAGAAGTTTGAATAATTTTTTCAACATCAATAATCCTACAACCAAGTACATGGTATGTTTTAATACTTTTGTGTTTCACTTTATGCCCCGATATACCACACAAGTATACTTTAGTAGTGAATCGCTCTTTTTATTTTGGTTAAACTGCCTACTGTAAGCTTTATAATTTTGTCGCTATCACGTGGATATATTGTTATTTTCTGGATGTACAATCAGTCCAATCAGTGTTTTTGATAATAAATAAATGAAAATAGGAGTGTGAAACACCGGCGGGCAATAGTTGACAGAATTCTTATACTCTCTCTACCTACTGCATAGTTTGACACGCATACTACAACTATTGTCAGTGAGTAATTTTATGTGAGAAATATTTAGGTATAGGTATCTTTAGATCTTGTGTGAATAAAAAAAGGCTTTCCGAAGTCAGTCAACAAAAACCTGTTTAAAAAATCAAAGATGAAGTGGTAATTATTTATTGAGTATCATAAAGTCAGCTTTTTAGTTTTCCAAGAAATAACGTCTAGGGTACGTTAATGTTGCTTACATAGATATCGGGGTGTAGCATCAGTTGTAGAAAGTGCCTTAATACACTTGTTTTGTGTATGAAAAGTGAAGAAAACCTGAAACATTTATGTAACTTTTGAGACTATTCAGCATGTAAGCATCCATCACCCTTTCTCAGGGATTGAGCCTAAAACCTTCAGGTTACTAGGACGGAATTCAATGGCCCATTGAATTCTAACTTCTGTCACTTCACGATTTGTAGAGCCCTTACCAGTCAGGTCCTGGTTTTGATCCCCGGCGAGCTCAAGAGTGAAGAATCCCGAAATGGGACGAAACAGCTGTCCAACACTTCCTGGCTTCCAGTGATCCTCTAACTGATACTAATTCACGATTAAACTTGAAAATTATCAAGGCATTTCATCTAAATCAAATGTCTAGGGTCAAATATAACATATACAATTGTTTTCTCAAGTGTAAATATATCTAGTGATATCTTTTTGGAGACAGTTGAAAAAAAACACTATCCATAGTTAGTCCTGTATCTTGATAAGAATTCAGATCGATATAAACTCAAATAAAAGGGAAGCCATAATGCGTAAAGCGTTGATTAAAAGACAAAGCAGATGTGAAATATGGACAAATAATGAAGAGTTAAGATTGTATATTTTTAGATACAGAAGTGAATAGCATAAAAAGAATCATTCCTAGAGGAAAGGAAAAGACATGTGAGTTAAATAACAGGTGAAAGAACTTTCACATAACGAAAAAAAGGAAATTCAGTAATAGTAACAGTTATGTTTAACATCATTAGCTAACTACTCATAGTGAGACAAATTTTACTTAGTCAAATGAATGTTTAAGAGAAATTAGAATAAAAGAGTGAAAGAAAACTTAGAGGACTGACAAGTTTTGTTGTCAATTTATTTTTAGCAAAGATCTTAGTCAGTTTGTTTTTTTCTTCACTCTAGAAATTGGAGTTGACATTTTTGTAAATGGTAAAAAATGTTGAGAATTAAACCACAATTGTATTCTGGTTAAAGTCAACTGGTTTTGCTGGCTTTTCAGATGAAAATAATTAGTTGTCTGCCTTCCACTGACTATGCTTAGCTTGAAGAATGATACGGAATAATACTGTCGCCACGACTTGGTGTATTGATGTTATTCTGATTGTCTGTTAGACTGGGTCCTTCTCTACTCCATTTAGGTTTCCGGTATCAGTAATTCGTAAAACCCTTTGGTAGTGTTATCTGACCTTTTCGTATATGAAAAATTGGAAAGTGTTCGCACAAATGAATGAATCATGTATTAATGTCTATGAAACGGAGAAATTTATCTTCTCAATATTCCTTTACTAATAAATTTTACAATAAAAAAAGGTTTTCCTTCTAAATATTCTGTGATTATTTCAAACAAGTGAGAATTAGATTTAGTTACAAAATAAATTTGTTTCTTTATTTCGGGAGATTCACATAAAGAACGAATTTCCAGTCTAAAAACTCGTTATTACTAAAACAGGGTTGATTGCTTCATCTGACGATGGAATTATCAGGTATAAGAGTACATCAGTCGATAGCTATCAATAGTATACAAAATAGTAGTCGTCTGATGACTAGACAATATGGGGAGAAGATTTGAGTAAGTTAACAAAGAACGAAAACATTGTAATTAGTGAGCCAAATAAGGTGGACAATGCAATACTAGTAGATAAATGTGAGCATGCAAACGAAATGAACTCTCTTGTAGGCTATGGAACTAAACTGCGAAAGCTCAGCAGCTAAACAGATTTCAACAGAAAAAAGAGAACAAACACGCCTATAGAATTAAGGGCTACCTATTCGTCACTATGTGTGATCCGCATAAAGTGTGTACTCCCTGTTCACTTAGTTTTAAACATATCTCGCTCCATTCACAATAGAGTTTCAAAGGCGCTGGCTGGACCTTAACAGCCTTCATATTCTTGGTCAGAAAACTGGTAGGAATGAGGGGCTAATAAGAATTAACAATGCATATCCAACACTCATTTTCATTTTTGAGCGAGAACCTGGTGAAAAATTACATCTTGATGTACAATTCAGTTGATATAAATAGAGACATAAAGCTATGTATGTTGCGGGTAAAGTTTGAAGAAGATCTAGTTGAAGACAATATTGTTTACTTGTATATTATTTTCAGTCATTTATATTTCATGTTACACAATCCAACAGATTTACAAGGATGTATACGTACTAGTCTGTCAGCATACACGGTGATCAGTATATCTTCATTGTATATTAATGAAAATGAACTAAACATATTCCAAAGGCATTTCATACGAAATAAGATTCGTTATCACGTTTTATTCGAACATTGCCAGATCTTGCTGAGTCAGAATACAAGGTATTGCAAAACAGACTTGCCATGCTGTCGTCTCATTATACTTGAATAGGTGGAACAGTGGAAGCCAATTACTATCTGAGTTTCGTCAAGTGAATGTAGTACCTACTTACAGGAACGCCGTAATCAGATCAGATGTTACGTTTAACTGTAAAGAAGGTATTTTATCAACTTTTAGAAGCATCTGCTATTGTATGCACAAAAATCTCTGGCGATAGCTTTTATACGCAACCGCTTTATTTTGTCACAAAGGGAGTCTGTATAAATAAGACAATTAGGTTTCTGTGATAGAGGAATTTTCATATGACTAACCATGGCATTTAGGTTTCTAATCTATTATATAAAAAACTTAGAATGTATATAAATTGTTTATAAAAATACAATACCACTCAGGAAAAGTTAAATTAAATTAGCCGTGTGTGTGCTGGCAGACAAAAGTCTCATAAACTTTAGGGTATTACTAGTTCCCAACGAAAACTTTTCTGTCCATTTCATTAAATACGCATAATTTGGCATTCACGGTCAGTGATGTATCCCCATAATAATAGAAAATATACTCCAGATGCTTGCTGAATTCATTCATACACCTGTGCTAGTATAATCAACCACATAAAGGTAATTGATAAATATATATACTCATACCTTCAGGCCAATATCTTCTTCACACTAATAATCTCTGCATTATTTGTTTATATAGGCAAAAATTGCTTTTTTTGTATTGAATGTTTAAAAATGAGGATAAACAAAAATAGGGTGTGAAGTACTTAATCAAGAGGATCTCAAAATTTAATAAATTTCACTTAAATAAGAGAAAAAGATGATTATGCCCTTGAGGAAGAATATAAGACCTTAGATATATTATACATATATATATATATATATATAAAGTAAACAAAAGTGTAATCACAACTAATAAACAAAACTCATTCTGACACGTTTTAACGCAAACGTTGCTAATCTACGTTAGTGAAGTGGCAAGAATTATTTAGAAAGCATTTTCAAGTGTTGGAAATTTGGCTCTCTGATGAGTAATGCGTTGAACATGTTTATCAGAGTGAAAAGATTTATGACTTATATACAACCCCTCA